ACTACTGTTCTTCTACGGAACAGTTTTTACAGGCTTTGACTGTTACTAGGTTCTTAGAAAGTAATCTCAATTGCTTTTGCATGCCCTTTGTATTCATTTAAATTGTCCCCTTAACTTTGAATAAGTACCTTGTATCACAGTATACTTCTTACAATATAAGTGGAAGATCTGGTTTGCGTTTCTTGTCAAATTTTTGCTAATGATTTTGCACAAGTGTGCAAAAATCTAAACACAACCCCATCATTCAGTCAGAAAATAATCTCCTGGTAAGGTGACATGTGAGGCTATGGTTAGCTGAAATGAATCCAACTTAGAATAATTTTTCTTCTTTCTCCTCCCTCCCTGAAAATAGGAGCTGTGCCTGTGTCTTCAACTAACTAAAGCCTTGCAGACCATAGCTACCAAGGGTGCTGGGTCAGTACGTTTCTCTTTAAACATCTCATTATACTTTAACTGCAACTAAATATTGAGGGAGTTGTTTGGTTTGTGGGTTTTTGATTGTACAGTACCTAATTGTATATGTATTCCTATCTGTCTCCTCTTAAATGGGACTGGAAGTCTACATTTGTACTGTTTTCTCCAGTTGCCTATTTGTGTCTCTTAGGTGTGTCTCATATTTGTATCTCTGCTATGACCTTTTCAGGAGATGGTTTTCTGACTTTTTTTGAATGAAATATAGTTTACATTCTTCAGGCCTATTTATACATTTTGTCTTCTACAGCATTTCTGCTGCTGTGCAATTATAGGCACATTTTCTTTTCCTCCATTTAGAGACTATGCAAAAGAAAAATGTATAAATTTCCCTCATTCCATCTTTCCTTGCCAGCTCCTACATAAATTGTTTTAGGCTGTGCTTTTCCTAGTCTTATTAATGTTTATTGATTAATTATTAATGTTTATTTATTTAACCCTTTCATTTCTGTACCTCTTGCTTTGTTTGATTGCTTTACTCTTACTTCACTGTGATTAAAGCTAAAAGTACCACCCTTGTACTGCTGAGTGAAATTAGCTTGTCTTCACAATTCTCTATTCCCATCAACTGCAAGCACACACATCACTAAGAAATTCACATGTCCCAGGGAAAGCAGGATATGTTCCTTATTTGCTGAATATAGGTTTCTACAAAAATTTAGATTGACAATGTGTTATTTATTACTCAGATAAAGCTTTCATTTCTGTGATTGTGCACAGGTCCAGTGGCCTCTTCTATACAGGTGTTAACAGCTACATTTGGTGTGCATGACACAAGAATGCTCAAATTGTGTTCACCTTTTTTCCCTCTTTTAACTTTCTTCTCTTTCTATATCTCAAAGAAAAAGGATTATTCTACTCTGGTAGGTCTTTGGCTGTCTTTTTTGTGATTTGTGTCACCTAGATAGAGCAGTGGATGGACATCCTGAAGCATGGCCAGTTAGGAGATGACAAAATCGAGCTTGCCATAGATAAATGCCTAACAGAATAAGTAATTAAAAGCCAATTTTTTTCCTGGCTCCCAGGTATGTTTTTGGTCTTTTGTACATCAAACCAAGTTATAAACATGATTTTGTATGTTTTTCATGTGCATCCAGCTTGCGGATGGGGACTTGAAAAGGAACTTTCTTATTCACTTTCCTGCTGAGAGCTGCCTCAGATGCCAGGGAGACATGTCAAATGTACAGCTTTCCTTTATTAGAAACCTTGTTGTATTTTTTCTTGTTTTGGACCTTTCGCTTGTCTTGAAGAAAAGCAGAGTCATAGAGAACCACTTTTGCAGTTAGTTTCTAGTCCCATACCTGCAAAAATGCAAATGTTTGCTTTCACCCATAAGTTGTTCTGTTACCTTGGTTCATCAGCTTCCAAATATGGGGTATTTGCAAGATTTGCACTGTAGATTTTTCGTTTTCTGACCTATTTTAGTTTACTGTATCACTTGGACACTATTGAAAAATATACAGAACAATTACTGTCCTAAGAAAAAAATGTCTTGGAATTGAGCTTACAGGTAGAGGGTATAGCAGAACAGTGGAGAACCTAAAAATATATTCTTGGGGCAAGCATTAAAGAGAAATGAATAATTTTTTGAATGATCTTGAGGAAAGAATTTTTATGAAAATTAACCAAATCAAAGATCCTTTATCCCTCTTTGTAAATGGTTTTGTATGGTAACAAGATCCTTTCCTTGTTCAAGATGATCTCATTCTTCTCAAATGAAAGTAAATGAGAGGACAGAGAAAAAAACTGATTATAGCCAAAAGAAATTCCAAAATGCCAGACAAATGAGGATCACTTCAAGGCGATAATGAATGAAAATACTTGTCTGTCTCCTAACATTCTCCCTCTTAATCTATACCTGCGTTTAGTGGAAAAAAAAAATCCTCATAAAATTAAATACCGTGTGGTAAGAATCATACAAAAATATGATTTATAAGAAATAATAACCTCATAAGTTATTACTTCTTTTCTTCCCTGAAAGCTGGGATTAAAAAGTAGGTCAACAAGCCCATTTAAATAGCTTATTCCACAGTGTGGTTTAAATTAGTGCTAGTGACAAGTGTATGAAGTGCTGTGCATTTTATTCTTATGGCATATTGGTTAAATTTAGAATTGTGCAAAGTGGCTGTTATATACAAGCCTGTAGGCAAATCCTCAGATCTTTCAGTCAGTGGGCTTTGTACTTGCTTTTAAACACATACAATGTGTTGTCATTGTGTTTGTAAACTAGGTGTTTTATCTGAACGTGCAATTACTGTAATGACAATTAATGTTAATCCAGTGGTAGAGACTCTTGCATTGAGGAGCTACAATTCCAGCTCAAAGGGTAAGGCATTTATAATCTCTGGGCACGTGATTCCTGTTCCTAGTTTTGTTCACAAATCCTTCCAGAAGAGTGATTTTAATCTAGAGACAAACTGAAACCGTTAAGTCTCACTGAACAGAACTGCCCTTGTAATGTTATTTAGTATTGATAGGTCAGGCAGCTTCCATCAGACAGATGGCCCAAGATGAAAGAGTGATTGTAGGCAAGGAAATGGCTTTTGCAGGAGCTCTGTTCTTGCTTCAAAAAGCCATTCTTTGGCTTGCAATCTCCTTCTCTGCTGCTTGAGAGCTGCCAGAAACAATTCTGGCCCTGAATTTCAGACATACCTAGTGCCAAGGTGAGGAGAGAGGTTTCCAGCCTAGCTAGATAATTTTCTCTCCCTCCTGCCTTTTTTACTTTGCAGCATAGGGTTCTCATCTGCACCCTGACTGGGAAGATACCAGCAGAGATGAGTGAATAATGAGGAAATCTACTCACTAGTGTTTTGACAATTGCTAAATAGAGTTTTGCTTAGATCATGTTTGTACTTATTTTATCAGCTATGGAGCTTTTTCTGAAAAGCTGTGGGAGTGAAGTGTTTACTCAAAAGAATACTTGCAGGGAACTATTTCTGGGCTGTATTAATGATTAAATTAATCAAAACCCAGTTTTTTCTCACTGTAAAAATAGCTGATTAATGATTACGTCATAAGTGAGGAAACAGAAACGGCGAATAAATCTGTGTGTTAAATTTGAGCTTGTTCTGTTTCAGAGCTCTACATCAATCAGCTGCAGCAGCATGTCTTCAGTAGCTTTTTTTGTATCCTGCTCTCCCAGTAATGATACTCTCGTCAGTCTCTTCCTGCCCTGCTCCTGTATGCCATTCTATTTCATGTAGGTTCTTATTCTGCTTTCATTGTCAAGTATATGAGCACCTAGCAAGTTTACAGTATGTGAGGTGCCTAGCATCTGTCGTGTTTGTCTCATCCCTTCCCTGTGTAAAGCACGGAGACTTCGAAGTGCTTTGTTTTGGTAAGATCGTTATCTGTGTATGGGAAGCAAGATAGACAGAAAAAGTGTGATTTGCATTTGGAGTGAGAATTGATGCCATTTTTAATAGTCCTCTGCCCCTGTAGGAATTTGTTTTGTAGCCTTGGCTGGCTGCTGGCAATGCTGCGTTTTAAGCCTGTAATAGCTGATAGTTACATTTTTGTACTTGCAGGCTCCAACAAAATTTTTTTGTCAAGTCTCTGTCCTCACTTTACTCCTGATCATCCTGTAATTGTCTCCTAATTACAATGGACAACAGAAGATCCTGAGAATCCAAGGTACAAAAAAGCTGCCAATGCAATGTGGTGCATTTCTGCCCTTGCTGGCTTTTTTTTCCTTTTATAATTTTGCAGTTATTGGAGAGACTTTCTTTGTGCTCTGAAAGCTGTCACACTGACCAAGATAAGGAAATAATAAGGAAAATTACTGCATATTTTCAAAGTAATTTATCAAGCATTGTTAACTATCTCATATTGAGCACTGTCCAGTCAAGGCAATATACTTAAGCCACAGCAAACTTTGCTTGGCAATGACTTAAGGTAAGTTTTAGCTAACAGTCCACCTCCATTTGGGAAAGCACTTAAAGCACATATTTGTGTTCCCTTGACTGCAGCAAATTGAAGAAAATGATTAAGCACATTTCCAATCAGGATGGATTTCCTGTATTTGACCTCTGTTGCAGACATATCTTAATAGGAACTGTCACATAAATGTTTCTCTTTGCTTCTTACATGAACAGTGAGAGAAATTAGGTACAATAGAGTAGGGTTCCATCATGTCACAACTTGTTACTTATATAAAAAGAAATTTGAACATGTATTTTCTGGAGTGAATTGGTCTGACAAATCCTCACAAATTTCTGTAATAAACTAAGAAGTACCTCTCTAAGGTCTATTCATAAGTTATGATGCCATATTCAAGTTCAAAGGACCCTTTAGGAGGCAGTTAAGTTTGAAGAGCTTGAGAGGCTTAAGAGCAGAAGGAATAAGCCTTTATTTGAAACAGTATCGATTCTTATTAAATTTGATGAATCTGAAGGACATTCAGGAATACCTCCTGTTTAGCATTGTAAGAGGAACTCTAAAGATGCTCTGAGAAGTTACTGCTACAAAAATATTGACAAATCACTCTTGTCTCAGCACTAATAGACTACTTATTCATGAGCTGAAGATGAATGTCTTGTTTTCCTGTGCAAAGAAGCAGCACGCAGACAGGTAAGAAAGCCCAGAAATAATAGATTCCACAACAATATATGAAGGTTGACAAAAAACTCATAACTTCCCAGCACACCAATGACCACTGAAATGATGAGACTCCATGAGGAAGCTGAATCAAAATTTTTACGTATTACTGTAAGTGAAAATTCAAAAGTGATTATACCTTGTAGCAGTGGTAAACCCTGTATAAAGTACATTTGCTTAAAACATAACCCTATAGAGATGTTGTAGTTCAAACCAAGAGTTTGGACCAATAGTAAGACTTGATTGGAGTGTAATAAGTTTTATTACTGGATGGCTGTCACTCCCATAAATTCAGATGCATATTTATTTATCTGATGCCATAGGACTCATGTATCATCAGGTACCACTCACATACACCACAGATATTTGCTATTTATAATTTATTAGGCTTTCTATTAGAAATGTAAACATGTTCACAGGTTAGTGAGATTTCATTTCCTATCTCTAAAAGCTTATTTACCTAAGATACACCCTAAAACGTGTTTCAATTTGAAGAACTAAAAGCCTAGGGGCTGATATTAATTGCATTGTGAGAAGTCTCATTTGTGACTAAAAGTTTCCTTAGGAAAAAAGATCTAAATTAGCTAGCTGTTATTTTTTAGATGCTATTTGGGTTTTTTAGAAGTACCACAACAATCATATTTAATCACTGTTGAGCTGATAATTTTTCTTCCTTTTAATTGTGTAATTTTCTGAGTTGTACAACCAAATTCCATGATGATCCCATCCAAGAGTTTTTCTTGAGAGACAATCATTAACACTTGTTCAGCTGTGTCTCATTTCTTTAGGCACTTCTTGATAATCTGGACACAATGTCTTGATGCTTGTTTATATGAACCTAATTCTGTTCACATCAGAGCTCATCTAGAAAACCAAATTAAGTAATGCTCAGTGTAAATCCTTAGGAAAGTATTTCTCTGTGAGCAGACTGAGTGAGCAGGACTCAGGTAATCAAACTTCATCTGCAATGGTGTTACCATACATGATCCATATAGCTTTGAAATATTGAGATCTCTAAACTGATCTATTGCTGTTCATTTTGCCTCTGTTGTGTCAAAGCTTGCTTTTTGTCTCTCACAGTAAGAGGAAACAAATACAGTCATGCTTTAATAAAGAATGATGAACTTTTTGTTTTGCCATCATTATTAGTCTTTCAACAGAAGCAAGGCAAACTGGGCCAACCAAACAACTGGTTATTGCTACTTTTGCTGCACTGACATGGATCTGGGTAAAACACACTTTGGTTTTGTTTCAGCTGCTCTTTACATATGCTCCCTATCTTAATCTGCAGCTCTGGAAAGAACCAAAATCTCATGGAGCTTGATTCTAGTTACTAACGGGATAACGAGGTAACTTCTCTGATTTTTTTTTTTTTTTTTTTTTTTTTAATTCATTTTTTTTTTTTTTTTTTTTTTTTGGGTAGACACAGCAAAACTTTGTGGCACCTGGCTTGGAATGTCAAACAGCTTGGACTTTTCCTCATGAAGCAATTTCAGCTAGATATGTACAGANTTCTAGTTACTAACGGGATAACGAGGTAACTTCTTTTTTTTTTTTTTTTTTTTTTTTTTTATTAATTCACTCTTGTTACTCTGTTTTGATAGTGGGTAGACACAGCAAAACTTTGTGGCACCTGGCTTGGAATGTCAAACAGCTTGGACTTTTCCTCATGAAGCAATTTCAGCTAGATATGTACAGATGTACTTCAAGATACATCATGTAATATTCTCATGTTCTGTGACTCTCAAAACAGTACAACTAAAACATACAGTTTTCATCTGGGCAAATGTGTTCTCTCACAGCATTGACATGACATTTTGCACAAGGATTGTCCTTTTGTACTAAAACAGAGGGACAAAAAGTAGTACCCAAAAATTTTGAAGTGGAGCATAGGAATTAATTTCTTGGTGACTCTCTTGAGAATCTAGGTATGATTCAGTCAATCTCTGAAAAATCTGGGAGATGATTCCCAAAGTCCTATTCCTAAATGTTGTTTTTAAATCCTGGTGGTATGACCTAGCATTGGCTAAACTGCCTGTTGTGAGCAGTCATCTGTGTGTTTGTGGTGATTTGGAAACTGTGTTTGGAGGCACTTTTTTGCCATTGCTTCCATCTGTCAGAACTAAGGTCAGTGCAGGTGGCACACTTAATACTCTGAATTCTCTGTAAAATCGTAAGGTTTTTTTCTGGTGTAGCTGAGGCTGTGTCCCCCTAGAGATAGAGGCCTGGGCTTAATTTGACTCATCTCAAATGGCCTTGCTGTTCTAAATGGAACTTCCCATGCATAAGAGTAAGGTTATACCCAAATTGCCACAACAAACTAGCCAAAGTTTGACCTGACAATATTCTGCAAGCAACAAGTTTCTCACTTATCCATTCCCCGAGTATTATGTTTATTTATGGTTTCCTTTATTGTTATTTATTTATTTTAAAATAAAATTGCTTTTTCTCTTTAGAAATATTCTTGGCATATAAAAAGTGTCACCAACCGACTTGATAATGAATTCTTGGAGGCCAAACTTCTGACAAAACTCTGTAAATTAAAAGGACTGCAACATTTCAAAATTCCTTTGTCAGACACTGTCTTTATTTTTTTTTTTTTTTTAAATTTTCCCTACATTATTACTGTCTGTACAGGAATGATGGATGACAGAGAATGAAGTTCCCATTAACTTAAGCTGTTACCATAAATCCTCCAGAGATGTCTAATTAACATGAAAGTTTAGTAGTTTGGGTTCATTGTGAGAGTCTGCTCCTGGTGCTCTGTATTTCTACCAGTGCAGTCCAGAGGTCCATAAATCTTCATTGCTCTGGGATTCCCAGTATGTCCCATTGTTGCCCATTACCATGAAAAAGTGACATCTGATGCAAGAAGTGTAAATACTGTGTAGAAGTTCAATAAAGTGTTCCATTCTTCACTGCTGAATTACAGTTTTATGGTCCATAAATAAAGGCAAACAAGGAAAACTAAAATATGAGGAATGGTTGTATATCACACATGTTATCTGGAATTAAATTGTTTCTGCTCTGGTGACAAATGTCTCACCTTCAATTTGCATTCATGTCTTGTGTTATGCCACTCTGAGGGCAGATTGTTGATGTTATAAATTACCTCAAAGAATAAAATGATAGATTTTGATATCATTCAGCTTTTCATGGAAGGAGTATTAGACAGGCTTAGAGACCAAGGGATAAATTTTATCAGACTGGTAAAGTTTGAGTAAACCCAGTATTTTTAGGGGCCAACTTTATATAGTTTAAAAAAAATAAGATCTTTGGACACACAAAGCAACCCTTTCCTCCCAGCAAAACAGTATAAACATTCTGAAATTATCTGCTTTGTTCAGCAGCAGCCCATGATGGGTTTTGTTGTAGTGATGCATGAATTTTCATAATTCAATCACTACAATAATCGCTTAGCAAAAGATGCGATGACAGAAGTGAAAAGGATTTAATAGATTATCAAATCCAAGCTGCTGTGCTAAGCATTTTGGCATATCAACCTGTTTATAAATGCACCAGCTCCACTGAAATTGCTTCAGATGTCTTCTCTTACCTGCATGAGCAGATGATTCTGGATATGCATTTCTCTTATGGAGGGTCCACTCTGTGCTTATTTAAAGTCTGATTATATGCATTGACTCTTCAGTCTGCACTGCATTTCAACAGCTGCTTTCTCCCACCAGTGTTCTTAACCCAGTGAATTCATGTACAGCTCTCCAAAGACGGCTGGCATTTTTGGATTTTGTGCTTTTTATGTAAAATAACATTCATTCCTCTGATCACCTTGTCCCTCCTCTGCATTGTAGTAGTCCTAATGCATCATAAAACATGTAAATGAAATTTGTAAGCTTAATTCCAAACAAGGTCTTACAGAGGTGATACGTGATGCTTTGACTTCTTCTACCATGTGTGGTGCAATAGCATTGCATTTATTTTTTTATGTCTATATTTATGGTTCATTGTCATTGAAATCTGTGTTAGCAGCCATTTCCAGCTGCTGAACTCTGGGATTAACTCTATAATCCACATCCCTTTGTGGACTTTGGTAGAAAGTTTTGTTATGTGCTAAGACTTTGTCTGTCTGATGAGACCTAAGGTTGCCTTTCCTTTCCCAGCTGAAGGGGGAGCAAGCCCTAGTGGATAGGTAGGAAGAGATGCAGTAACTTCTCGTCATGTTCTTGACTGTCACAGGTCAGGGCTGTAGGCTGCAGAGCCTGGAATGCCTATGCTTATTTTGTGAATTATTTTATCAATTATATTGAATTTATCCCACATTCTCTATGTTTTTTATGTTGCCCTATTGTGTCAGCAGTACAATTTCTTATGTTCCCAACAGTAAGCAGCTTGATATGATTTAGATAGGTGGTCCCATCTTCACAAACCAGAGGTATGGGTGAAACACTGAGTGGGGTAGTTCTCTATTATTGCTGGCTTGATATGAAATTATTTTAAATCTGCCTCAGTCAATGTGTTTTCATTTTTTTTTTTCTTTGTGTTTCTGAGCTCAATTGGAGCAATAGAAGATAGTACAGATGGCATTTTTGGAGGTGTCTGTTTACATCTGGAATAAAGATTCAGAATTAAGATTACTTCATTTGAACAAACTGACTTCTTCCTTGGAGATTATACTTAGTATTTCCTGTATAACTGCGGAAAGAGCTGCTCCAAATATCCAATGTGTTAGTGGTCTTGGTTAACAGGAGATAACATAACACTCACAGCTGTCTCTTTACTAAATTTACAGGTTAAATCAAGAGACAGTGCACTTGGCTCGCACGCAAGATTGAGGTCAAGGCATATGTGCTCTGTTCTCATTCCTGCCACAGATCTGCAGGATAAGTGTGAGTCAGATTCTGCCCTTTAGTTCTTTTGTCTATAAAACTTACATACACATAATCAATTTAACAGTCCCTGACAACTTACAATTTGAGCTCAGCCATGGTCTCTGCCTCAGGGGTTTCAAACAAAGTGTCATATTCAGGTATATTTGGCAATGTTGCAGAAATGTGGTAACTACTATACAAAGTTAGTGAAAGATAAAATAAATTAAATATATTCTGTATGTTCTGTCAAGTTCAGCATCTGAGTGTCAGTGAAAATGGGTTTTTTATGGTTATTTGCAGAAAGTCTTATCTTGTGGCAGACATATTAGCTGTACCTCAACTGAAAGACTATAACCAGGTGTCTGGGGTTTAAGAATCAGAAGGGGTGGGAGCAGGTGCATATTCCACTTTTGCTGAGCATCTCATTCCTTTCTTCTCTCAAGAGTTTTTCAGCTTCCCTCTAAGAGCAGCAGCAGTGATGTGCCACCTTCTCCTCATTGCTCAGTGCCAGGAGGGTAACGAGGCCTGACTTGGAAATGCTGTGTGAGTGGCGAGCAGCTGAGCAGTGTGACTCAGGGGATCGCTGCATTACAGCACTGCAAATCTGGCAAACCTAATTGCGCTCACAGGGATAATGACAACTCCATATGGGATGGAAAATTGTTTGCATGTAGGTTTTACTTCTTAACTCTTCTGGTCTTCCTGTAGTTAGAAGGCAGGCAGCAGTCTCCAAAGCTAACAGCAATGCTGCTGCTGGTCCAGCTGGCACAGAAGATTTAACTTCACACGAGCCAGCTGGCTATCTCCTTGCCTCTTTTCACCTAAGAGACTGAAATATGTAATCCTTGAGATATGACCAGACTTCTGGAACTCACAGCTCTTTCTGGGAAAGAAACAGCATTATTAGTACTCTGTATATGCTTTCCTTCAGAAAGATATAAAATGTTAAATATGGATATATATGTATTTATATGCTTTATCTATCTATGTTAATCCACAGATGTCAAAACTAAAATGCATACAAAGGAAACTGCAAGCTTACAAATAGATACACAAAAAAAGAACCAGGAAATGAAGAAACAAGGTACTCTGTTTGCATTTTGATTGACTGATTTACTTCCACTACCCTGTGTATGTGGTAGCCTTAATTTTCAGTTGGATTGTTTAAATATGCAGCCAATATTTTTCTGTACTCAGAGTCATTGATACTAGGAGGATTACAGTATTTTCATTTCCTGTGTTTTAGGATCTAATTTATTACTCCTCAAAATGGCACTAGTGGCTTTCATAGTTTTTTTCCCTTTCCCTAGTAAACACAAATATATGGAGAAAGATAAAAATGGCTTTTTTAATATCATTGTTTTATAAGTAGCCCTGCTCGGCTTTGAAAGTCATATCTGGAAGAATGAATTGAATGGGACATTACATTTACTGATGCTGCTGTTATGCTGAATTGCAATTTTGCAGAAGCAGCAATGTATCACACTGAGCCATGAATCTTCCCCAAGAGAATGTAGGATTTG